ATATGCCACCTGATCTCATATATTATGCCAAAGAAGTTAGGACAACATAGAAAACACATCTTTAGACTGATGAACCTCAGTGGTCCTCAAAGATTGTCTCAGCTTCTTACTCTGCTCTGATACTCATTGATTCTTGAATTTAAAGCTGCGACACGTTCAATTAAAACCAGTCTGAAAAAATTATGTTTCGGACACACTCTGGCGCTGATGAGGCCGAGTGATGAAGAGTGTCAGGTGTTGTTTGGTCCCAGTCTTACTGCTAATGCAGTTCTTTCTAATAAATCCTCACCTCTGATTCACATCTTATCTTTTCCAGGAAACAAGACGATGGAGGGCGTGGTGACCGGAGTGAACACAGGTAAACAAACTGCAGAACAACAAAACAACAAAGGAACTACAGGATGTGTTGTATTTATACTTCTTGTTTCCTTAAACCTCAGGTTTGAGTTACTTTGTGAATTTTAAATCTTTAGTTTCTTGACCTTCTTGTTTGGGTTTACAGTCCTGGATCACAGATCATTCTAATACTTGGTTTATTAATAAAATGACTTTAATCGCTGGATGTCCGGCCCCTGAGCTGCTGGCTTTCAGAAACTGTGGCCCCCTGAGCAGTTTAGTTGAATAGCCCTGGTGCAGGGAGTCCTTTTCTCCTGCTTCATGTTCAGCAGCAGCTGAGGACGTGGGATGACTTCTCTTGTGCTCCAGAACATATGAAGCTCTATGTGATCCACAGTTCTCTGGTTCTCTGGTCAGGCATGTAGTCTGTCCTGTACAGCAGCCAGGCAATAAATAAAGTGGACATCAGCTGAACCTTCTCTGACATGAGTCTGTTGCAGGGAACTGATGGATTCCAGCAGATCCACCCCTCCTGGATCTTCTTGTACTTTCTCCCCTTTAACAAGCTCACCTCCAACCATTGACCATTAGTAGGGCCCAAAAAGAACTGGTCCGAGTGCACAGCAAGGCTTTCAGGATGTGTTTGTTAGTTTTTTAAAGTCTTTTTGTGTTTTATCATGAGGTTTATTTAGGTGTTAACAGAGGGCAGTGGTAGCTCGGTGAACTGTGGTTGCGTCAGGAAGAGCATCTAGCATAAAAACAATTGCCAGGTCATCATGTGACCATTATGTCATTATTCATTATTTCACCATGGTGACCCCTGAAAAAGGGAGCAGTTGAAAGAAAAATAATTAGCTTAACTGACTTATGACATCATTGCTGTCATACCAGTCTGTTACTTTAGATTTTGCTGCCTCGACAGACTGTTTATAGTTTGTTTGTTTAATAAGTTTAGTTTTTGAGTTCTTCTTGTTTATCCTTACAAACCATGATAGTCAATAAATAACATAAAGGTACTTACAATAAAGTATCAGATGTATTGTTCGGTGATGTTTTATTTTAAATACTGAATGAGTGTTAGGCAGCTGGTGTTAAATACTGAGAATAGCTGAATAAAATGCATTAACACACTGTTTCACATTTTGCAGATGAACAAATAGGTTTTATTTTCCCTGATGATTAATTTGGAAATGTCTTCTGTCATTCAGTTGCTCAGAAGTCGACCGAGCAGGCCAACGTGGTGGCTGACACGGCGGTCTCCGGGGCCAACGAGGCCGCCCAGGCAGCGGTGGAAGGAGTGGAGAACGCTGCAGTGGCGAGCGGGTTCGTGAAGGCGGTAAGAGACGTTCAGCAAATCACTAAACTGAAAAATGTCACCTTTTAAAACCAAACTGTGGGGAAGATTATAAATGTTTCAAAACAGGATTCTGGTACTTTCTAGTGAAATTTTTTTCAGTTAAAACATTAATAAAATACTTTTATATTTGTTTACGAAACAATGCTAAATTGTTCAGAATAAAAAAAGTTTCATTTGTTGACGTTTTTACAACTTAAACAAAATACAGTTATTAAATAACTAATTTACCCAAACTAAATGTCTTATAGTATGTTTGATGCATTAATGATGATCCTGGTTTTGTCTTTTGTTGTTTTATGACTCTCTGTTTGGCTGTGATCAGGAGGAGGCGGGGCCAGGAGCTGAGGAGGTGCCTGATTGGCTAGATTTGGGTGTCACTGCATGGCGCTTGAAGCCTTTAAAAAACTAGCTCTGCTCTAAAACCAACAGAACTCAGATATGAATGACGAAGTATTAGGGCCACACTAAGAAAAAAAAATACATTAAGAGAAAAAGTCATGAAATTACGAGAATAAAGTTATAGTATTACGAGAATAAAGTCATAGTATTACGAGAATAAAGTCATAGTATTATGAGAATAAAGTCGTACGGGAGTAAAGTCATAGTATTACGAGAATAAAGTCAAGTCAAGTCACATTTATTTATATAGGATATTTAAAAAAGTAACTGTTATCAAAGTGCTTACCAAAAAAGATCACAGCATCAAATATTAACAAGATATTACAGCAACATGAATAAAAGCATAAAACATGAAATATAATTAGAAACAATGAAATACTAAATCAAATCACGCTGTGTTAAATGCCAGTGAGTACAGATGTGTTAAAGTCATAGTATTATGAGAATAAAGTCATAGTATTATGAGAATAAAGTCATAGTATTATGAGAATAAAGTCGTACGAGAATAAAGTCATAGTATTACGAGAATAAAGTCATAGTATTATGAGA